ATAAACAACTTTGACTGGAGAACTTGTGGAAGCAATGGAGCCAACTATGGAAAGGGTATGTAGGAAATGACTGAGTGTCAGACCTCAGAACCCCCTGATTTTGAAGTCTTTAAAGATGAAGACACACCCCCCAAAATAAATAAATAAATAAATAAATAAATAAATAAATAAGGTAGGAATTGGTGTTAGCATCTTCCTTCTCTCTGGGGAGGACAAGAATTTGCTTTGTGCAGCGGTACGCTTTTTCACAAGGTGTTGAGGGACTTCGAAAAAGCCCCTGTAGCTGGAGGTGGGATCTTCTAAACATTCAAGGTCATGATTTAGACTTGCCAGAGAAATAGCTGCTACTCATGGCAGGGAACAAGAAGGTGTGTATTCCCTCAGTATGATCATGGAAGTCTTTCTGTTTTCTTGTCTATCCCTCTAATAGCAACACACATACCTGTAGTGTTTTTATGCTGTGTTTGGTTTTTCTTTATAATTATTCCTATAATAGCAAATTCCAAATAGAAGTTCTGAGGTGAAACACTTTCTCTTGTAAAATAAATAAGTAAATGAATCTACAGTATTGTGTAAACTGAGTAAGAGGAGACCTGAAAGTTGGGTCAAATGCCTCCTGAAAAAGGATGAGATGTTCTGTTTTCACCGTCATTTTATACACATCCCTTATAACCATGTTTTTTTACCTTTTTCTAGGAAGTTACTTTGCTAGAGATGCTTCATATTCCCATGAGTACTGTCAGTCTGCAGTGAAAGCAAACGTCATGTTCATGGCTCGTGTATTGGTTGGAGATTATGTTCGAGGCAGGGAAGACTACGTTCGCCCCCCACCAAAGTCTGTTGATGGGCTTTGTTTTTATGACAGTTGTGTGGACAACAAGTTAAATCCCTCCATTTTTGTTATCTTTGAAAAAAATCAAATTTACCCAGAGTATCTGATAGAATATAAGGAGGCAGGAAAAAAATGTATTATATCTTAAAGTGATCAGAGCTGTTTGTAGCCCTTGTGTTATCTTCAAAATTGCAGGTGTTCTCATATTTCTTTTTAATACAACATTTTTGAATGTTAATCCAAAGAATTTTTGTGTTGAGGAGGGCTGGCAAAACAGATGTTGTATCTGTTGAGACTAATTTCCTTGTCTTCTCCCTTTTCTCTCCCAAATGAAGCATAGATATTTGGATAACCATAGCAGAAAAATCAGAATCATGGGACAGGAAATTGAATGCTACAACTTCTGTAGATAAATAATCATAAACACATTTTCTTGGAAATACAGAGGATTTCTCTTTATAAAAAGGTTTGGTTAAGAGAACAATTAATGGTATGGTAGCTTTTAAGCTCTGTTTTTTAGCAGTTCTCAAGATTCTAACAGCATTTTGCAATGCTGAAGGCTTTGTAGAGACTTGAAAATTCTTTTCAGTGCAGAAGATGACTGTACTCAATCCTCTTGTCTATCACGAATCTAAACAAGTCAGTGTATAGAAGAATGACTTGACTTAGTTTTCGAAGTGCTGTTTATTAATACCAGTACTAGTTTGAAGTTTAAAATGGTAAAACAAAGAATGAAAAGTTTAGTTTAACTTCATGGTGTAAATTCTCAATTGGAGAAGTTTTGTCTGTACAATGGCAGCTGCTGTTTTGATCAGGAAACTGCTGGATCAAATTCTTTTTGCAGATTTGTAGTAACTTGCTCTGTGACCTATACAGAAATATATCAGAAATGAAACTATGAAAGTCACAATTTGTGAATAAGATAAACTAAAATTTGGTGGTTTGGCTGCAGCTAATGGTTGTACATACATAAAGGCTGTGCGACAGTCAGCTAGGCTTTCAAGAGAATGTGGCCATGTACTTTCTCACTGTGAACACTTGCTTAGCAAATGCTGTAGGACCAGAGAAACATCTTAAGAAACGTTGATCTTTTCAGTCCTACTTGTGTAAGTTAATTTTCGTTTTTCCCAAAATAAAAAATAACTGGAAGAGACCAGTTATTTTACCTCGATGCCAGTGGTAGAACTACTGGTATTTCGTATATGTGTTTTGTTGCACACAGTGCATTCATTTGAGAATTCACTGTCAAGTGTAGTTCCTCTTACTACTTCAAGCATGGTGATCCTGGATACTGATTACTTTGGTCCATTTTTTGGTAATTTTCTTTTTCGTATTTGTCAGTGAGGTACAACCATACTAACAGTGGTTAAACCCTTTTAATTAAGTTAGATGTTTTTTCTCATCCCAAAAGGATAATGTCATATAGAGATTCTACTGAATTTTACTAATGAATTCATAAGTAAATTAAAGACCTTCTGTAGAAAGATATCTTATTCTGGCAGTGCAGCTATTGACAGAGAAAGTGTTGCTGAGGCTAAAGAAAGACTAATGGTTAATTTAAGATAAGCTTTACAATAACACAAATAGCTTCCTAGTAATTTGCATCTTGAACATAAGTCTGTCAATCCTGTGTACTACTAAAATTCTCAAAGTTACCCAGAGAATGGGAAAATATATAAAACTAGTATATCTTATTAGAATGACTGTTTTAGAACTAAATGAAAACAAATGCACCAAATGGGAAAGTTTTACCTATATTCAAATTTCCTCACTTTTGGTTTGCCTGTAGAATTCCTAAATCACTGGGTTTTGGCATGTTTGCAAATAAAATGTGTTTTCAGTCACTTTTCAGCTTGTTAGTGTGCAGTTTGTCTCTATGTGTAAAAGGATGGCAAAACTCAACACATCTAGTAAACTAGCTACTTAATACATATGCTTACTGTCTTCCTTTCATCCATGTTTCTAAACTGGACAACTGTGTGGATGTAGTTTTGCATTTTAGTGTAGATGCTCAGCACCAAGAAGCCACTTGCTCACTCTCCCCAGGTAGGATGGGGGAGAGAATTGGAAAGGTAGAAGTTCAAGAACTCATGGGCTGAGATAAGGACAATTTACTAGGTAAAGCAAAAACTGCATGCAAAGCAAAGCAAAATTCTCTACTTCCCACTGGCGAGCAAGAGTTCAGCCACTTCCAGGGAAGCAGGGCTCATCACACAGAGCAGTTCCTTGGGAAGAGAAACACCATCACCCCAAACATCCCCCCCTTCCTCCTTGTCTATCCCAGTTTTAGTTGCTGAGCATGATGCCATATGTTATGGAATATTTTTTGTTCAGACTGGGTCACCTCTCCTGGCTGTGCGCCCTCCCAGTTCCTGGTGCACACCCAGCCTCCTTGCTGGCAGGGCAGCATGAGAAGTTGAAAAGTCATTGGCTCTTTAAAAACAATTAAAAACATCGGTGTGTTATCACCACTGTTTTCATTAAAAAAAATCCTAAACATAGCATCGTGCAAGCATCTGCAAAGAAAATTAACTCTATCCTAGCCCAAACCACAATAACTGAGTATATTTATGTAAATTAACTTTGTAGCTAAGATGTCCTTGATATTAAGTACTATGGTGGTTTGGTTAGACTCCATGCAATTAACAGCTGCTATGAGCAGCTGTTTAAAGTAAAAACAAAAACAAACGAACAAACAAAAAACAACCAATAAGGCAAAATAGTAGCAGAACTGATTTTAAAATGTGGGGAAAATGTTCAGGTATTGACTTATTCTAAGGATGTATTGGAATACCTAGATGAGTAACTTTCAAAGAATTGAACGCTTGCAAGACACAGTGCTGCACTTCCCTCCCTCTCCCCACGATCTACCATAATCTGCAAGACAGGCAAGTATATGGAGAATGAAGTGAAATGCTGACAAATAAACAAGTCAGTCCAAACTACAAAATCTAGGACAAGGGAAGAAATTGGAACTCCAGTGCCATGCTTCACGTTGTCAAATTGCACTTCCATAGTGTGGCAGGAAATGGGAAACGTGCTGGGTAAGGCCAAAATTCTCTGATGCACAGGATACTGGCTATTTAATGAAGGGGGGTGGTGGGGGCAGACTGTAGATGGGAGCTGCTCTGAGGAAAGAAGACAAAAACTTCTGTGTGGGTAACCGAGCTGAAGAGAGAAGAAAGCTACAAGAACAGGCACACAGTAATCCTTTGCCCTTTGAGCCTGTTAAAAGACCTAGTGCGGAAGAAGACAGGAATAACGCTTCATGAAACATCCAGGTAGCCACAGTGCTGAATTATGTTTCCAGTTGTTGCTGCAACAAGCAAGCTTCAAGGTAAGACTAAATCAAAGTGTATCCATGATAAAGTACATAATTTTGGAAACAATTCTTTTCATTACTAGTGACTCTGAACAGAAGCCACGTTTGCTTATTTCTGGCAATCCTAGCATTGCCTATTAAGCCTGCCACTTGTGGGCTGTGTTCTTCATAGCATCCTAGAATGGCTTAGGTTGGAAGGGGCCTTAAAGACCATACAATTCCAACCCCCTTCCATGGGCAGGGACACCTCCCACCAGATCAGGTTCCCAAAGCCCCATCCAACCTGGCCTCCAGAGATGGGTCATCCACAGCTTCTCTGGGCAACCTGTGCCAGTGTCTCACCACCCCCTGAGTAAAGAATGTCCTTCTTGTATCTAATCTAAACCTTCCCTCTTTTAATTTAAAGCCATTAATCCTTGTCCTATCACTCCACTCCCTGATAAAGAGTCCCTCTCCAGCTTTCCTGTAGGCCCCCTTTAGGTGCTGGAAGGCTCCCATCAGGTCTTTTAGGAGTCCGCACGATCCTTAGTAAAGTTCTTCCTTTGGTTCTCCTATTGTTCTCTATGTGTTTTGTCATCTATTTACTATAATGCTAATTGAAAATGGTTCAGCACAGCATGGTGAAGCAAGACAGATTGAACAGAAAGACTGGTTGGATCATTTCAAACAAGACGGGGATGACAAGGCTGAAAAACAGAAATGCTCACTTATAGCAAGATGTGTAGAACTAGCTGAATGAGAGCTTCTAGTCACATTCACAGAAGGAAAGAGAATGCATCCTACTATAGGTTTACAAATTCGAGTCAACTCATTTAAATCTTCATTCATACAGGCAAAGACGTCATATACTTGCTGCACAACTGAGGACATCTTTGAATTTATTAATGTAAAGCAGACAGAATTCTAAATCACATTATATCAGAAGTACTAAAATATCACTCTTAGATTTATGTAGCAATGCATCACTTACACTACACACTTCATAAGCAGCCAGCAGATTTCTCAGACTTCTGTTTGATAGTAGGATTTGTTACATCCCTTGAGTAAAAATTTATCTGTCTAAAGTCATTGCTTGACATGCAGTGATTAAAAATTAACAGTAAAAAAAAAACACTAACTTTATCACTGAGTGAGCCAATCACAGTCATGGCTGGACAGATAAGGTAGTGACATATCTGAAGAGCAGTGAACTATGACTGTCCACAGCATTCAAAAGGTTGCAAGCAAGGACTGAAATACCCTTATATGGGTTCACAAACTATCATTTTTTTTAAACTAAACTATTTTTTCTCCCGTGATGGTTGGGGGAAGAAGGCAGGCAGCAAGGCACTTGCATATCTTAAGCCTCTATTATGTAGGAACTCCAGGGCGACCATAGGGCCAGCTACGCAAGTGCTTTAGGTCAGAAGGATTCTGTGTGAAAAGGGGCTACTGTGGGACGTGTGGAAGAGCCCAAGCTGGAGAGGAAGGAGGGGCAGACATGTCCTGGAGTTCTTGTAGATACCAAAGTCAGAGCTTGGGCAATTAAAGGGTGTGGCATTTCTATGCCAGAACAAGAACAGAAGGCATTAGGTTTCGTTTGAAATACTATCTTCTCTCCATTAGGGATTTCTGGATTACTTTTGCAAGACAAGCTTTTAACTCTGCTGCACTGCAGGAACTGAGAAGCACAAGAACTTCATGGAGCTTTATGTCTCTTATCATGCCTTATTTGCAGCACCAAGGCTCGTCACATCACTCATGCCAGGACAAAGCTTTGTGACAATTCCCATTAGCTCTCTTTCTGGAGGAGTTCCTTGGCAGTTTTCACCTGCACTGAGATTCTCCAGTGTTCCTATAAAGCTCATGAACATTGGCTTTAAAGCTTACATTGCTAAACAAAGCGTCTCTTGCTGTTGAGACGACAGTAAGGCCTGAGTTATTAGAAACTAAGCACAACGATTCCAGCCCAAATTACTATTCAGAGACAGCACTGTTTTAGCTGAAATCCAGATTTTTTCATTTTTTCCTGAAAGATTTAAAGGTGCCGAGCAATCATCCACATTAAAATAGTCCTAACCAGCAGTCAGCCCTTGTTCCTCTTGTCTGGCTCTTCCGCATTGTAATTTCAAGAAGTTCTGGGCCTCTATCTTGAAGTCTAACATTTTGTAAGAGACAGATTAAAAAAAAGCATCTGGAAAAAGATCCTGAATGCAGACAGATCTGTAATGCCAAGGTAACTCATGCCTTAATGGGCTGGAAGGTTGAAATGGAATTCCGTTTATGTCTGTGTTGGCTCTGGCCCTACACTTGCCCATCTGCAATGCTGAGGCCTATTTGAATTACCTAAAACGTTTACTCACTATTTAACATATTAATGAAGTAATAAACCAGGCCAATGAATAACTGAAATCCAGGCACTGTTTCTGTACTGAATATTATCAGGGTCAAGGGAGCTTTCAAGGAAATATACCAGAAAAGTAGTGCCTCAGGATGCTACTGATAGCTGTGTATTATCAGCAAGTATTCTTATTTCCTTGTAGAATCATCCAAGATATAACACGAAGTGCAACAGCTTTCTATCTTTTAAGGAAATTGTCATCAGATCTCTAGCTCCTAGGGTACTCTTAACTGTGATTCTCAAACATGGGCTACAGCATAGAACACCTCCACTCCCCGCATCCAGACTTTGATTGCTAAGCATATTGCTATCTCATCTCAAGCACAGAGGACAGATTTAAGCCATTGAATGAACTGCTGCTGCCTTCCTCATAAGTCGCTCTGTCATTGGTGAGTTTGGTCTCATCACATCACGTTCTCTCAGGAGGCATCTGAGAAAGGAAAATAGGTAGCACATAAATGGGATGAAGGTCATGAGTACATCATTTTTTCCTGTAAGATCATCTGCAGTGTCCTTTTAAGAGATAGAAAAGAATACCTAAAGACCTGCTCTTGAGGTGCGTATCTCCTTTATTGGAAACATTTAGCCTTGGCATTAAGTTTAGGCAGAACAGCATGCTTCTTAGCACTGACAAGAGACTGAAAATGAGCAGTCAGGGTGTACAAAAGAATCATTTTGATTTTGGGCCTAATATTTATGTTTCAAAGAGACTTCAGGAGTGGAACAGGCAAGGCTTTACGTTGTCTGGAGGATCCATTCTTTAAAGTGCACAGGCAGGCCCAGCTGATAACTTTCAACAGAACTCCATACAGGTCAATGAGCAACATCTGTGATTTCTGCCCAGCAAGACACTTGTAATTTGTACTGAGGCAAGCTCACATCAGACTCTGTTAATCATATTTCCCAGTAAAACTGTTGTTATTATTAGTATGGACTTGACTTTCAGCAGTTTGCTGAAGTTTAGGAGTCCATTAAGTACACAGACCATGAGGCAAGTGGCCACTGTTTAAGACAGAACCCTCTGAAAATCAACTGCCATTAAACAAATATAGATAAATCATCCAGACTGTAAGAATGCACATTTGGAACTGAAAGCAATTGCACTTTTTATCTTGATAAATGTAGCAACATTTAACCATGAATGCTTGTGTGTAATTTCAGCACTAATTCAGTATACTTGCTACTACTCTTTATTTTTGAAAACTACTATTTCCATTTAAAAAATCAGGAAAAAAACTTACCTAGCAAGGTTTTGTTTGGCTTTTGATTTACAATTTAAAGCAGCATGAATCAATAACTGGTTGAAAACATCTCTCTGAAAACAGAAAAAAAGTTAGCAAAAATACAAATTAATATGTAATTTAGACTTACATGAACATCATTACAATGGTTACAATGTCTTGTTTACTAAAAGCCCCCAAGGAAAACATTTTCTCATTGACATATTTAAATAGCTAACACTGCTAGTAAGTGTTTGTAAACAGGATTCAGTCACAAGCACAATTCTTCATTTTATAAGAATGAAGTATTATTAATAGTGTAAGAATCAAAGGGAGGCTACTGGAAGAGGATTAAGTTGCATCAAAACATCTTTTATTGACCTCCTTTACCTGAGCATTACTGCCTCCTAGTTGGATTAGCTGGTAACGGATTGGGTACAGCAAATCTACTGCTTTGTCACAATTTCCATTTTCAAACTCCATAAAAGCCTGGCACAGTGGTAACCCCAAACTAGGAGCCAGGGAAAGTTCATGGTCTTCACCAGGTGCTCTGTAGAAAGAGAAAGTGATGAACTTGCATAAGTCAAATGATAAACATGCATATTTCTGTACCAGTCTGTCACTGCCTACAGACAGAGTTATTCTTTTTACCCTACAAAGCCTGATATTTCAGGTACTTGGATAATATTTTTTTTGTGTGGTTATGTTACCTTCACCTCTGTTACTCATTAATCAGTTTTTATTCCTCTGCACATATTTGCAAGTCACAAGCCCAATGCCTCCTGCCTTTGCAATAAATAGTTTAGGCTAAGAAAAAGCCAGAAAATTCTAGAATCATAGAATCATAGAATCATAGAATATCCTGAGTTGGAAGGGACCCTTAAGGATCATCAAGTCCAACTCTTGACACCGCACAGGTCTACCCAAAAGTTCAGACCATGTTACTAAGCGCACAGTCCAATCTCTTCTTAAATTCAGTCAGGCTCGGTGCAGTGACCACTTCCCTGGGGAGCCTGTTCTACACTAGTTTCTCTTCTGATCCTCTCACCAGAACATCCTATTGCTACTTCTTTGACTGTCCTTACCATTGCCAAAACTGGCAATCAGTCTCTTGCAGAGAGCTCCAAATAATAATCTTTCAAAAGAACTTGCCACACAGCACAGTGCCTCACCATCTTTGTAATATACACTGCATTCCCAGTGACAGCTGGGAATGACAGCTCTCAAAGTCTGCTCTTATTTTCATCACAACAGACTGTTTTTAGATGCAAAAACAGCAAGGGATTTTAGATAGCACTTGTTTTTCTTTATTTTTCTTTCTCTTTTTTTTCTTTTAAATGCTTGTAACCTAACCCGTCTAAGAGTGAAAGAGACATACAGCATGACAATAAGCCTGTAGAAGATGTATACATTTTAGTAGACATCCTTCCCTATATTAAAAAATGTAAAAATATAAGTAGCCAAACTGTAGCCATTTGGCCTATAGGCAATACCTGCAATGGGACAATGTGGAATTGTTTTTCCACTGCTACAAAAGGAGCTGACAGTGATCACACCTTGACAGTCGGAGGCAGTGACATGTAGGTGCCAAAAGCTTGGTGGGCAGTACCAGAAGGGGAAGAGAGCTATTTGACCCCAGCAATACAAATCCATTCATTCCTGAGAATACGGAGCACAGGTCAATGCTATGAATTCCATTGGTTGCTTAGAATAGATTTCTCTGTAAATTTTCAAGTTAAGTCTTTAACATTGAGGAATCAGCCTAGTAACTTTAGTCACTGGTTTCTGTTTAAAGTGCTTGCAACCACAGCTGAAAGCCACAATATTGCCTTAAACTTACCAAGCCAAAAATCTGATGATACAAAATGTACACACTGGTGTAAACAGAAAGCTATGCAACACCTCAGTAAATGCCCCATTGCTACAATTCACTCCTTATATAAATAAATAAATAAATAAATAAAATGTGTGTATCTGTATGCTTTCTGTATAAACAATCAAAATGTCTTTAAAGATCTACCTTTCAAAGCACTAAGCTTTGCCCTAAATATTCCCTTTGAGTCACGATCATAAATTTCCCTTATTGTCCTCTAGGTCAACGCTGATTTTTATGTATACAGTGTTGCCCTATGTGTTTATCATTCCTTAACATGCATCCTCCTCTGGAAAGTTAAAAGTGTATAACAGATGTGTATTTTGAAGAAGTGGTCTGACACCTGTTAACGACAGTCGTTAGCTAGGTGAGAATGGTCTCCACCAGGCACGGAGCGCTCTGCAGGAGGTCGGTACACACCCAGACCGAGTACCCGCTAAAGAATGCAGCGGTTCAGGTCACGGGATGCAGGGAGTGTCAGAGCCTGTTCCTGCCATCGGCGGGAGGCAGAGACGCTGCGTGTGTTAGGTGTGAGCAAGTGGATGACCTGATCCGCATGGTGGCGGAGCTCAAGGAGGAGGTGGAGAGGCTGAGGGCCATCAGGGAGTGTGAGCGGGAGATAGACTTCTGGAGCAACTCCCTGCAGGGCCTCAAGGAGACATACCGGGGTGAGACACCCCAAATGGGGGTGGACACCCTGCCCAGTCGCCGTCGGGCAGAGGGAGGGGATCTGGGAGTTGAGGACGAATGGAAACAGGTCCCTGCTCGACATCGCAGGCGATGCCCTCCTCTTCCGACCCCACCTTCCCAGGTGCCCTTACAAAACAGGTTTGAGGCCCTGGAGAATGAGAGATCAACAGCAACTGAGGAAGAGGTAGAAAGTGTTCCCAGGAGGATGCCTAGGGTGAGGAGGTCAACTCCACGCATCAGGACTGCCTCCACCAAGAACGAAAGAAGGGTGATTGTTGTGGGTGACTCTGTCCTTAGGGGAACAGAGGGCCCTATTTGTCGGCCTGACCCTACCCGTAGGGAGGTCTGCTGCCTCCCTGGGGCCAGGGTCAGGGACATTGCCAAGAAGGTCAAGCGCCTGGTACGGCCCACTGACTACTACCCGCTATTGGTCTTTCAGGCTGGTAGCGATGAAGTAGCAAAGAGAAGTCCGAAGGCGATCAAAAGAGACTTTAGGGATTTGGGGCGACAACTTAGAGGTTCGGGCGCGCAGGTTGTGTTTGCCTCTGTCCTTCCGATAGGGGGGATGGAAGCTGAAAGGTGCGCTGTTCGCATAAACTCGTGGCTTCGTGACTGGTGTGACCGGCACAACTTTGGGTTCTTTGATCACGGGAAGGTCTATGCTACGCCGGGCCTGATGGCACCGGATGGGATGGGCCTCTCTCGGAGAGGGGTAAGGATCTTGGGTCAGGAGTTGGCAGGGCTGATAGATAGGGCTTTAAACTAGAGTCGAAGGGGGAAGGGGCTAAAACCAGGCACGCCGGTGAAGACCTAAGGGATGGTACGCTAGAATCAGAGGGGCTGTGTGCCAGTGAGGTCCTTCGGTTCGATCCACAAGGTGCTGAGTGTAAGGAGACGCACCTGAAATGCTTCTACACGAACGCACGCAGTATGAGGAATAAAATGGATGAGCTAGAAGTCCTGGCCCAGTCCCGCAACTACGACATCATCGGCATAAGCGAAACCTGGTGGGATGAGTCCTGTGACTGGGGTGTTGCGATAGACGGTTACAGGCTCTTCAGGAGGGACAGGCAGGGTAGGCGAGGTGGTGGGGTGGCGATGTATGTGAAGCAGGGGCTGGACTGTGTGGAACTTCAGGTCGGCGATGGCAAAGTTGAGAGCCTCTGGGTAAGGATCAAGGGACGAACGAATAAAGGGGATGTCGTTGTGGGAGTCTATTACAGACCGCCTGGCCAGGACGATAGCGCCGATAACTTATTCTTTACAGAACTAAGAGAGGCCTCGAGATTAACTCCCCTTGTCCTTATGGGGGACTTCAACTTGCCAGACGTTAACTGGGAGTGCCACACGGCTGACACGAGCAAGTCCAGGAGGTTCATGAAGCACCTAGATGATAACTTCTTGGTGCAGGTGCTGACGGAGCCAACTAGGAAAGGTGCCCTCCTAGACCTGTTGCTAGAAAACAGAGAGGGTCTGGTGGGAGATGTGGTGATTGGTGGCCGCCTCGGTCATAGCGACCATGAAGTGGTTGAGTTCAAAATTTACGGTGACAGAAGGAAAAGTGCCACCAAAACCTCATCCCTAGATATGGGGAAGGCGGACTTCAGGCTGCTCGGGGAACTAGTCAGCAAGGTCCCCTGGGAAGCTGCTCTTGAAGGCCTTGATGTTCACCAGTGCTGGTCACTCTTTAAGCGATGCCTCCTAGAAGCACAAGATCAGGCAATTCCTAAATATCGCAAGTCAGGCAGGCGGGGCAGGAGGCCGTCGTGGCTGACCAGGAACATTCTTATGGAGATTAGGCGGAAACAGAGAGTGTTTCGCTACTGGAAGGAGGGCCAGGTGACATGGAAAGAATACAGGGATGCTGCTCGTGTCTGTAGGAAGAAAATTCGTGTGGCTAAAGCACACCTAGAGTTGAAGCTGGCTGTGTCTGTGAGAGAAAATAAAAAGGGTTTTTTTAGATATGTGAATGGAAAAAGGAGAACTAAAGAATACATAGGGCCGCTCCTTGACAGGGAAGGTCTTCTCACAGACGATGACATAGGCAAAGCAGAGACGCTTAATGCCTTCTTTGCCTCTGTCTTCAATGCCGATGATGGGCTTCGGGACCCAGGGTGCCCCGAGCTGGAGGACCGGGACGGTGGGGATGACAAACTCCCAACCGACCCTGAACGTGTGCGGGATCTGCTACTCCACCTGGATCCCTACAAGTCCATGGGTCCGGATGGGATTCATCCCCGGGTGCTGAAGGAGCTGGCGGACGTCATCGCGGAACCTCTCTCAATTATTTTTCAACGATCCTGGGAGTCTGGAGAGGTCCCGGTAGACTGGAAGCTGGCAAATGTTGTGCCGATTTTCAAGAAGGGTCAGAAAGAAGACCCTAGCAATTACAGGCCTGTCAGTCTCACATCAGTGCCTGGTAAAATCATGGAGAAGATGGTTCTCGAACGTATTGAGGCGCACCTGGGGGACAAAGCAGTCATTGGTCCCAGCCAGCATGGGTTTGTGAAGGGTAGGTCCTGCCTAACTAACCTGATTTCCTTTTATGATAAGATCACCCGTATGGTGGACCAAGGGAAACCAGCTGATGTGATTTTTTTGGACTTCAGCAAGGCTTTTGACACGGTTTCCCATAGGATCCTACTGGACAAAATGTCCACAATACAGCTAAATAAAAACATCATACGATGGGTGAGCAATTGGCTAACGGGCAGGGCCCAAAGGGTTATGGTGAATGGGGCTGCGTCAGGCTGGCGGGCGGTCACCAGTGGGGTCCCTCAAGGCTCCATTTTAGGGCCGGTACTTTTCAATATTTTTATAAACGATCTGGATGTAGGAATAGAAGGCATTTTGAGCAAGTTTGCCGATGACACCAAACTTGGAGGAGTTGTGGACTCGAATGAGGGTGGAAAGGCCTTGCAGAGGGATCTGGATAGGTTGGAGAGCTGGGCGATCGCCAACCGCATGAAGTTCAATAAGAGCAAGTGCCGCGTCCTGCACCTGGGACGGGGAAACCCTGGCTGCACGTACAGACTGGGCGATGAGACGCTGGAGAGCAGCCTAGAAGAGAGGGATCTGGGGGTCGTGGTAGACAGCAAGCTGAATATGAGCCGGCAGTGTGCCCTGGCAGCCAGGAGGGCCAACCGTGTCCTGGGGTGCATCAAGCACGGCATCGCTAGTAGGTCGAGGGAGGTGATTGTCCCGCTCTACTCTGCGCTGGTGCGGCCTCACCTCGAGTACTGTGTGCAGTTCTGGGCACCACAGTATAAAAAGGACATGAAACTGTTGGAGAGTGTCCAGAGGAGGGCTACGAAGATGGTGAAAGGCCTGGAGGGGAAGACGTACGAGGAACGGCTGAGGGCACTGGGCCTGTTCAGCCTGGAGAAGAGGAGGCTGAGGGGAGACCTCATCGCAGTCTACAACTTCCTCGTAAGGGGGTGTCGAGAGGCAGGAGACCTTTTCTCCATTAACACCAGCGACAGGACCCGCGGGAATGGAGTTAAGCTGAGGCAGGGGAAGTTTAGGCTGGACATCAGGAAGGGGTTCTTCACAGAGAGAGTGGTTGCACACTGGAACAGGCTCTCCAGGGAAGTGGTCACTGCACCGAGCCTGACTGAATTTAAGAAGAGATTGGACTGTGCACTTAGTCACATGGTCTGAACTTGGGTAGACCTGTGCGGTGTCAAGAGTTGGACTTGATGATCCTTAAGGGTCCCTTCCAACTCAGGATATTCTATGATTCTATGATTCTATGATGAAACAATCCTTCATTTAAACGATTCTTCCAGCTCTCATAGAAAATGCACAGACATCAAAGACTGTTTTTTACTTCCTCTTGCAATTGATCTGAAGTATTGATTCATGAAGAACAATATACGCCCCTGCATTAACTAACATTTCTATCCATGAAAATAAACATGGGATACCAACCACCAGAGAGCGCCACAGAAGGCGGTGTGGGTTGCCCCTGCCGTGGGAAAAGGCAAACCCACTTGTGGGATTGTCCTTGCCCAAGGACCAGGGTATACCTGGTGGGTAATGCGGAAAGATGGGGATATCAAGTGTGTGCCTCAAGGAGATTTAACACAGCAGCAGAAGTTTTTGAGAAAGGGAAGAAAATAATTCAAATTCTCCTGAAAGCTGGCTTTGCCATTAAACAGAATAAGGTCAAGGGACCTGCACAGGAAATCCAGTTCTTGGAGGTAAATGTCAGGATGGACGTCACCACATTCCGACAGATGTGATCAACAAAATAACAGTTATGTCTCTGCCAACTAGCAAAAAAGAAACACAAGCTTTCCTAGGCCTTGTGGGATTTTGGAGAATGCATGTGCCAGTCTATAGTCAGCTTGTAATTCTTGTCAACTTTAAAGCCCCAAATGAATTTGGTCTGGGTCATTTTTATGACTGCATTTTAAACAAATAAATAAATAAAAAAGCCACAAGTAAAACACATCTTAGATATCATTTACATGCATGAATACAATATATTCATGATTCACAAATTAATCCACTAATCCAAACAATTAAAATAATTTCTTCATCTTACAGTCAGTTTTCTGAAATAACAAAATTAACCTTCATAATGCTTCAAATTACATCTAAAAACGTGCAGTTCTATTACTACAAAAGGCTGAACACAGGCAAAAGGGAACAGTAGGTGGAGAGATACGTAGAAGGATCGCTACAAGAAGGACATCGAGGTGCTTGAGCGGGTCCAAAGAAGGGCGACGAATCTGGTGAGGGGCCTGGAGAACAAGTCCTACGAGGAGCGGCTGAAGGAGCTGGGCTTGTTCAGCCTGGAGAAGAGGAGGCTCAGGGGCGACCTTATCGCTCTCTACAGATACCTTAAAGGAGGCTGTAGTGAGGTGGGGGTTGGCCTGTTCTCCCACGTGCCTGGTGACAGGACGAGGGGGAATGGGCTAAAGTTGCGCCAGGGGAGTTTTAGGTTAGATGTTAGGAAGAGCTTCTTTACTGAAAGGGTTGTGAGGCATTGGAACAGGCTGCCCAGGGAGGTGGTGGAGTCACCATCCCTGGAAGTCTTCAAAAGACGTTTAGATGTAGAGCTTAGGGATATGGTTTAGTGGGGACTGTTAGTGTTAGGTTAGAGGTTGGACTCGATGATCTTGAGGTCTCTTCCAACCTAGAAATTCTGTGATTCTGTGATTCTGTAGTGTGTTACAGCTTTCCTGAAGTGGTGTGTGCAGTTTTACACATTTTACATATACTTACATATCAATATAATTATATGAAAGATATTCACTGTCTCCTACTTCAGTCAAATCAGACATGCTTAGGCTTGATTTGACAGATCCTTGTTTTCATAACTACTCTTAAATACATTTATTTTTGGTTGAGAAACATTATTGTCAGAAACAAATTGTGAGAATTTCATATTCTTCTTCCTCCTTCTTTTCTAAGGGAAGGGAAGCAATAGATGCTGAAGCAGGGGAAAAACAAGTTATATGGGGGAAGAACCTAGAACTGAATGAAATTTTAAACTGGCAATGATTGCCATACCAGTAATCATGTGTTTGGAGCAGGATAAGCTGAAATTCCTAAGATGTTATGGCCAAAAACAGGAGGGGAAAGGTGGTACTGTAACTCAAGGCAGTGAAGCCGGGCAAACAGGGATGTTATCTGACTGCCATTTGTGACTTTACCAGCCTACCAAGCCCATAGGTCAGCTGTATGTTCTCAGACACAATCTCTACAGATTTCAGAAGCTTTCTGTTCACTTTCAGTTGTTCGGCATTCATACATTGAAAACCATTACTCACACTTACGCGAGAGATTTCATTAAGAGTAACTAGATATAAATTTGTATTGGTTAAGTATTAATCTTTTTTCTCTCCCATGTTTGCTGCAGAGTCTAATCAGGTGGTCTACTGTTTACAACTTTGTAAATTACTAAATTTTGTGCTTAAAACTATACCATTAAACCAGTAACTTGTTTTTAGGATCTATCACCTGCATTTACATACATGTAATCTATGGATCAATCCCCTCAAAAGAATTACAATCATTTACAGTTATTCAATACAAAAGAAAACATAAAGAAAAAACATTGTTTAGTTGAAATACTTCAATATGCAAATTTTGCACATAATTCAAAGCAAAATACTCTCTAGAACTGCTTTAGCAATATTTAAAAATTGGTTTCCTGCAGAGATGCTTCACAATGCACCAAATCGTAGCTATTAGAATATTGCTACCAACTAACGGTCCATGATTAAAGAACGTTTTAAAGCAGAGCAGAAATAACCACCACAGAGAGCTAACATATATTGTGCAATGTCCTCATTACTATATGGGTGAAATACTTATTGTATGTAACATAGCGTAGTATGAATTCATCAAAAGAAAATACAAAGCAAATGTTCACTTAGTGCTCATGAGTTCAAATGTAAGCGATTCTTGCTTAACAAAACAGAAGCCCCTTTAGGTAGTACTCAAAAATAATTACAGGGATCTTCTAATTGCACGTCAGCTGATTCAAACCAGACTTGTTCCATTAACACTCTAAGGCAGAGAAGAGTATGTTGTAACACTTCTGCAAGCCAGAGGCATTACCACCCTAAAGTTCAGAGGACAAAATATTTTTTCAGTATAACATTTTAATTCATTTACTTACTTGGCAAGTTCTTGAAGAGTTGTTAAAAGCTCATCAGTAGTTTTGTGGTCTTTGGCTCCAAGGGAAGACATCAAGATGTGTACATCGTTAAACAAAAGAATGTGATCTTTGGTGTGTTTCTTTGTAATCTTGAGAACATTGTCCCATCTGTCTCCAAGCTTTACACCTATGAGTAAAAGATATCTTTTTCAATAAAAATACCACATGCAAAAGCATCACTTTGTAATCAGCATCACACAGCACAGATAGCACTGCTACTAAACTCAAGAAAACAGACCCTAGAGTGGCAAAATTATATTATAATATTATTATAATATAATAATATAAGTAATGCTTAGTTACAGCCTGTCATATCTGGGCAAAGGGTTTATTGACTGTCAGTAATTTATTGCCAGTATTCTAGACTGCATTAAGCGAGGTTCTGGCTTTAATACAAGATTGCTTGTGTCTTCTTGGAGATTATGTTCATAGCGAATTGCCTATAGCAATCAAATTATACAGACAGATAAGACGGATTCCATAAACAAACCCAATGCACCATTAGTGTTTCAGTAAAATATTATGAAACCCTGCACCCTCCAACACCACCCTTCAGGAACTCCAGTGTGCAAATTCTAGCTTTAAAAAGTTGAGAAGAAATGACACAGAGTTATGAGAGTACACAAAAGCCAGAGGCTAATAGATGTGCACTTGCTATATCAACCAATATCACAATATAAAGTATTTAATTTGAAATTTACGTCAAGAAAGCTCTATAGCATTTTAGAAGCTAATGTACTCAATTATTCAGCCTCAGATCTCCAGGGACAATATAAGTTAAATCTTCCAGAAAAGAAATATGTAACCTCTGCTAGCTTGAGCTGAATGAAATACTGTGCTGGCATGGGAAAAAAAAGTATCTTGGAAAGAATAAAGGTTATGCACATGATGTGGATTAACCCTGGGTGGTGCTTCGCTGTGGTAGGCAGCAAAGCACCACCCAGCAGCTCGCTCACTTGCCTCCCCCTCAGTTGGATGGGGAGAAGAATCAGAAAGGCAGAAGTGAGAAAACTTGTGGGATGAGAAAGACAGGTTAATAGATAAAACAAACACTGAGCATACAAGCAAAGCAAAATAAGGAATTAATTCACTACTTCTAATCATCTGACAGATGTTTTACCCATTTCAAGGAAAGTTAGACCTCGTTATGTTTAACAGTTAATTGGGAAGACCAACACCGTAACTCCAAATGTCCCCTCTTCCTTCTTCTTTCCCGAGCTTTTATTGCTCGGCATAGCAACTTAGGGTATGGGATATTCTTTTGGTCAATCAGGGTCAGCTGTCCTGGCTACGTTCCCTCCCAAATTCTTGTGCAACACCAAGCCTACTTGCTGGCAGAGCAACATGAGAAACAGAAAAGACCTTCATGCTGTGTAAGCACTGTTCAGTAATAGCTGAAATATCTGTGAGCTATCAACACTGCTTTGATCACAGATCCAAAACATAGGATCGTAAGAGTTACTATAAAGAAAATTAACTCTATCCCAACTAAAGCAGAACAGCAAAAGATGATAAAGTTCACATTGAGGCTTTTCTCAAGAACGGACTTTTAAGATTTCTTCTGTAACACTGACCAAGCTTGCTCTGTAAGTATCTCTAAAAACTTCTCCAACATGCCAGTGTGTGTATTGTGGGGTGAGGGTAGGGAGGGGAAGGCAAAAAGAAAACTGTTCCTCTTACACATTAAGAAAGAACAGTTGGATATCCTACCTTCCAGACGAAGCCTGTACAGCATTGAACAGTTATCTACTATATCCAGCATGCTTCCACTTGACAGGCACTGAGGAGCAATCTGTAATCACAGGTATTCATAAGCTGCCCAACTGATGTGCTAGCAGGAACTTACTCAGATAATCAAACTTATATTCAAAGTACAGAATTAATTTTATCTTTTTATTCATCCAAAAATACCTGTCTGACAATAGCCCTATTTGCATCTTTTCTGAATGTGGTAATTTGCAGTGACAAACACACATATTGCTTCATTTGTGCTGCTTTACATGTTATGGAGTTAAACTCAGTAAGCATGGAAGGTCATCAAGGTGTTTTTTTGTTTGTTTGCTTCCAGTACAGTGCCATAATTAGTATTTAATTTTGCCAGATTTAGTAGACCGGAATCTGCACAGCAGCTTTCTTAATGACAACATTATTTTTAAACCTTACAAAGATGTTATACTACTGAAATTTGATAGCACTTATTTACTAAGATTGTTTTGAAATCTATGCAGTAAAGAACCATAACTTATTATGTAGAAATAAAAAGACATGTTTTTGTTGACTTAGTAGCTAACATGCAAAAATCACTTCTTTATAAAGGTAACTTGACTTTATAAGAAAATTATTTCACATCCTTTTAAAAAAGTTTCTTTTCAGGGGCATTTAGACCTATACATCATGAATAAGATATGTGGACACCTGGAAAACAGTACCAACAGTGCCATTACAGCTACTTCAAGCAAAAGTGTAAGAAAGGCTTGAATCAATATTTGAGTATTTGGGGCATTTCAGTAGTTGACAAACAGCTTCCCAAACAACACATATAAATAATATAATAAAATAATATGGCAATTGCAATAGGTTTCAATTTCATGCAGAAAGAATAAAGTACGTATTGTGGCCTTAAGCATGTTCTCCAGTAAAGATTAAGGCTCCTACTCACATGATTGTCATAAATTGTCAAAGCAGCCTCATATTCCCCCTGTAAAAGCAATCATTAACATTCAGGTAGAGAAAACAAGAGTGATGGGTAGTAACCAAACATATAAATACAATTAATAGGTGCCGTATTACTTCACTACCTCATGACTTGTTTAAAAAAAAAAAAAAGTCAATTAATTCCTTGAGGCCTGAAAAGAAAGAACAGAGACTAAGATAAAACAGGCTTTACTAGGTAAAATAACCACTATGCTTAGGTTTCATTTAATAATGAGAACTAATCCTGCCATAGGTTACACATGAGGGAGAAAGACAAGGTGTTACCTCTCATTCTAATCTTCCTTTCAGGTTTCTTTGCAGAAATTACTGCATCATGAAGTTATGCAAAGAGGTAGGAATAAAACTAATGTTAAGCAGGCTATACAAAAGCTGTATAATAGTGTTAATAGTGCTGAACATCTGCAAGTTATCTTGTTTTCTGACCAACGTACAGCACCTTTTCCATGATGACACATTTGTCTCCCGAATGAATTGAGACCCACAACTACAAAGAATTATCAAGTCCAAGGAAATTCTGCATTGCAGCCTGATAGGTTGGGTAAGGTGCAACTTAAAGGGTTTCAATAAATTTGATCTCTCTATAAGAGCAAGAATTAGTATCATTGACTAATAACATTAGCTATCAAATCTAGAGCTGTTGTACTGCCTCTTTTCTAGAGTTGGGAAATTTTGAGTTCAACAACAAAGTACTGAATTTGAAGAGAATTTTATTTTTAGACAAGATTTTGGCTAAAAATTAGAGATCCAGGTTCACCTTTCTATAAAATAATTGTGCCAAATGTAATTAGTGATATTTTTTTTATCTTTGAACATGTAATAATCATGTAATAAAGCAACTTTTCAACATTCCAACGAAGATACTGGATCTTTGTTCAATGTAATTACAACAAAATTATTCTCAAAATAATTGTACTAGCGAACTATCCTGTAAAAATGTCATTGTGCCATTTTACAAAAAAAAAACACACAACCCTCTAGACAGCTGAAAAAAAATAAATAAACGCTAGGGCTGCCTTTTAAATAGCATTAGATCAATTATCTGTCTGGACCATAAAACATCTGTATGAAAATGTCTCATACCTTTTCAATGAAGTATAAAGCCCAGTGCCAGTAATTATGACAAGCAAGCATATCACTGTTCTGCAAAATAAAATAAAATAAAATAAAATAAAAATGTTATATACAAAATAACTTTCCATTTAAATGTATCTAGACAGATTTCTGTTTTCTTCTTCATAAAAGAGTACTTCAAGTGACAGAAGAGACAAGAATGTTAAATCAGCTTGTCTACTTTAAATTTCTCATTATGCATATGCTACTTGAAATTCAGGATGAAAACTGAAGTTTATATAACTGAATTTGTTATTATTATATTTATTATATATATTTATTATTACTATTTATTATAACTGAATATCATCAATATTCACTGAACTGTACCAACTTTGCGCCCTACTTCTCAACTGGTACCAGAATTTTAAATATTCTTTCATAGCCTCCAACACTGTAGTTAAATTTAATCTTCTTACAGGTGGAAAAATCTTCCTTGTAATGATGAAAACTGCTTCACTTTCAGGAAGTACAAAGGTTCCCAGTGAACTTTATGGTGCTAATATAAATCCTCTAGTAATCTTTACTTGTTTAATATTATACTACAAAACCAATATGAGCAACTAAAATAGTTAAGGGGTTGGCATAAACCTGATAATATCACGTTTACTACTATACCACAATACCAAATGCCATATAAACAAGAACATGGGATTACTTCACTGAATAAAACAAAACCTTTCTTCTGCCTGCTGATTTTGAGTTCTGAATGAGATTAAATTGCTAAGGCAGAAGTGGGCTTGCAGACTGCTAAAATAAATAAAAGCAGACTAGGAGAACTCTTTGCAATAGCTCTGGAGAAAAAACTTTCCCATTTAATAACCAACAGTACTGGCACAGAGGCCCCCTCTGGTAACATATTTTGCTCCTTTTGATTTTGTGCTGAAACATACATAAAAGAAAGGCATCTTCTTTTTTTGTGTGGAGAGGAACAATAAAAAGTAAACTACCATGTAAAAAAAACTTACAAATTCTTTATGACTCTTACTGTAAAGAAAGATGAATTAAAAACACCTAAAGGAGTCTAGTGGTGCAAGATATAAAAGATCCTGGTCATTAAAAGAAGTACTAATTGTCAATTCACCAGGCCAAACATAAGCCCTTAGAAAGCCCTGCTTTTTTTTCCACATGATTACATTTTAACTGGGTTCATGACGAAAAGATGGGTTCATGAAGGCTAAGATGAAAAAAATTGCATAAAAGAAGTGATTATATACATTATCATTATGACAATGTCAGCAGTTATAAGTCTTAACTGTACTGGAGTGGACATGAGGGTATTCTAGACAATTCCACTTAATGATCTGGCACTTTGTTTTATTTGGATAAAGGGTATAAAGCTCAGAAGAATGGAACTATTTTAAGAAACAGAGTTCAAACAGGTTCCAAAAGTCAGGGGCTGATTTCAGAAATGGTTCTTGGTAGTTTTGAAGGTGTCACCCAAACTGTAAGTTCCATGTATCACTGTTTCATTAACTAATATGTTAAAGGACAGAATCCTTTCTGAGACATCAAAGATATGAACCTGAAGAGAGGATTGACTGATTGACTGCATGCATATCCACGCTTGGTACCTCAATGATTTAACTTAAAAAAAAAAAAAATTCATCCTTCTAGCCTCACTATCCAGCCCTGTTCTTTGGGCAACATGGTACAGTGAGTTGAGATGACTCTAAAACAAACTCTTGTGGGTTCTATCAACTTCAAACTCCACAACCTTATGCTCTGAATATTATTATCTGCTCTTCACTTAATCATTAGGAAAAGACATGCTGTTCAACACAAATAAAAATTAAGCTCCACTTACAGCAAAGGACTACATGACAAATTAACAAAACTGTTCAATATACCACTGAGAGATACTCAAATAAGTTGGATATATGAAGTAACTTGAGTAGACTAGAAAAGAGACAAAAGCATAATTTATCTTTTCTTTACAGCTCACCTAGCATCCTTCCCTATCAAGAAGTAAACAAAAACAAACAAACAAAAATAATCAAAAAGCTCATTAAATACATGAGCTTTCTAAAACGTTGCTTTGCCTGTGTTATCTCAGAGCTGGTTCCCCTGAGGAAGATCACATAGGTTCCTCAATCGATGCATGTTGCTCAGCCTCAGTCTAAGCAAAAAGTTCATGAAAATAACGCTTGTCATTTTACTTCTATAAACATGCGAGTATAAATAAATCAGTTTTCATATCTAATATTTCATCTTCCAGCAATGGCTATGACTTTATGAGATATGAAATATTTAGCCAGTTCCATCTGCTTAAGAAAAAGAAACTATGGCGCGTGTGTGTACAAACTTGTTGAAAAGCAGTATTTTTTCAATATTTCTAGATAAAATAAGGCAGTGTGAGAAGACAGACTTTTTGTGAAACGTGGCCAACCAATGTGTTTGGCATTTGTGTAATCTCAGCAGTCCGAGTTACGATGGCATAAAGTGGTTCAAAGTATGTGTTGTTCATAATATACAATTTTTTTATGCTTCAAAATTGGCACAGATAACAGCACCACAAGTGATTTTTCTCGTAATCTAGGAAATTTGCATTGCTTGTAACATGTATGGAGACAAGAATAAACTAGATGAAGAATCAGAGAACTTGACTGGAGGAGATAAAGAAGACCTAAGATTTTTTTTTCAGAGATGCTATGAGAAAGTTTACCTTCCAGTTGGCTTCTGTCTCCTTCATAAATGCTAACCCTTTCTTCACCTCTGCTTTCATTTCATTTATGTGAGCTATAGTATGAACAGACCATGCATCTGTCTGATCTATAGCCAAAGCCTGTGAGTCAAAAAGGGAAAATGTGATCTTACAAACTTGCAAATAAACATATTTATTATTGCTGATATAGAAGCAAGAGACTTGTATTTATTAGCTGCACGTTAAGTACATCCCTGCACTATTCCTACTAACCACAGCCTGGAAGACTGATTTGGACAGAAAGGAAGAAAATGTTTATTGGCTGACTTCACTTCCTGACTTCTACTGCACAGAGATAAACATGTGCAGAACAGCTTTAGAATGCAGGCTTTAATGAAGGTTATCAAATGATGTTTTATTTCAAAGGCATATGTCAATATAAGCCATAAAAGAATTGCATACACAGGCATAATATACCCCATAGCACATTCTTGCAGGTAATCATTCCTTTAAGAACATGTCCAGCTCTGACTATTGAGCAATTTACTATTTCTCACTCCATTTACCAATAAGTTTTAGCCATTTCGTAAAGTTAGTCTTTCTTGTCACTTTCAGCCATTTGATTTAACAGAACCTTGGCAAAAACACCCATTAAAGATGAATTGTAACTGAGACCCCTGGAGGACTGCAGAAAATCAGGTGTAACTACTGTCTTCATAAAAAGGGAACACACCAAGTAATTTTGATCCCCAGGAACATTGTAGACTTAATTGCTCAATAATTCATGAATGTGCATCTAGAAAAAAAAAATGGAGGAGGAACCCAAACAGGGTGGATTGTCAAGAGCAAATTACGTTAAGTCAATCTAACATTCTTTAATAGGAGTAAACAGACAATTATACATGGGGGAAACAGAAAATTCGATATACATGGATTTTAGACAGCTGTTTTGATACCATCTCGCATGGTATGGTTGTAAGGAAATGAAGGCAATACAGTTAAGATGAAATTGCCATGGTATGGCATAGATATAGGAATCTTTCTAAGGAATATTAATCAATAGTTCTTTGCGAAATTGTGAGAATTTCCATGCTAAATTTTATCTCTTTGCTACTCCTCTTAACAACTGGGATGACGATGAGTCAGTTTACAGTATCTGCACAAAACATCAGTCAGAGATAGGGAGCATGACTAAGAATTCTAAAGCATTTTACCATCAATAAAAGGCAATTACCTCAAGGGCAAGCTTCTCAGCACGATCAAAAAGGTTTGTTTCCATGAGTCCAAAAGAATAGTAGCCCTTAACATAGCTAAGCAAAAGAGAAATGAACAATGCTTCATCATTAAGAACTAGATTTAAGGTAGGATTGAAGAACATACCAGAACATACATTTAACTCAAAACAGTCCTTACAATGCACTTTATATTGAACCATGCAAAGAGCTCAGATCCCATCTATTTTAAATGTGTATCTAACAAAAGACCAACTCTTCCTCATGCCCAACATGTATACTAAAAAACATGCAATCTATTTATTGTGCTAGCCAGAGCATCACATGGAACTGGGAACACTGTGTTTTTGATTCTGAATTGTAGAGTATGTAGACAATATTTAGACGCAATGTCTGCTTTTCTGTAGGTAGTCTAAACCACCACTAGCATTTTTCAAATTCAACACATTCTGAAGCATACTGAATTTTACCAACAGGGAAAAAAAAAAAAAAAAAAAAAAAAGCACCCACAAGTGACTTAAGATTTACAGTTAGAAACAGTGAGTGGGAATGTGTCAAAACACTTTCTGGTTTGTATAAAGTGGCTATTCTGGCTCCCCCAATACAACAGGCTGGAGATAGAACAAACTCACTGTCAGGCTGCTGCTGGTGGTGGTAAGCCACACTGATAATATTCAAAGGGCTCAAGCTTGCAGAATACAGAACAATAAGCTAGCTCTCATAGGAAATGAGAGGCCAAGAGACACCAGCATGGAAATCAGGAACAAAATGCACATCACCAGTGTTTTGAGAGCTGACATTTACTTCTTTGGATAAACTGGAATTTAGAGAACTAGATGGTCAGAAGCAAGAAAATACCACCACCAAAATTATCTGTATATCTCAAATGCAATGCATATGGCTGTAGTCTTCTGCACTTTCTCCAGTGCCCACTAACCTATAGGTAAGTGCCTTTAAGTGAAGTGACTCTTCAAAACTTGACAGCAAGTTGAATATGAGCCAGCAGTGTGCCCTGGCAGCCAGGAGGGCCAACCGTGTCCTGGGGTGCATCAAGCACGGCATCGCTAGTAGGTCGAGGGAGGTGATTGTCCCGCTCTACTCTGCGCTGGTGCGGCCTCACCTCGAGTACTGTGTGCAGTTCTGGGCACCACAGTATAAAAAGGACATGAAACTGTTGGAGAGTGTCCAGAGGAGGGCTACGAAGATGGTGAAAGGCCTGGAGGGGAAGACGTACGAGGAACGGCTGAGGGCACTGGGCCTGTTCAGCCTGGAGAAGAGGAGGCTGAGGGGAGACCTCATCGCAGTCTACAACTTCCTCGTAAGGGGGTGTCGAGAGGCAGGAGACCTTTTCTCCATTAACACCAGTGACAGGACCCGCGGGAACGGAGTTAAGCTGAGGCAGGGGAAGTTTAGGCTGGACATCAGGAAGGGGTTCTTCACAGAGAGAGTGGTTGCACACTGGAACAGGCTCCCCAGGGAAGTGGTCACTGCACCGAGCCTGACTGAATTTAAGAAGAGATTGGACCGTGCACTTAGTCACATGGTCTGAACTTGGGTAGACCTGTGCGGTGTCAAGAGTTGGACTTGATGATCCTTAAGGGTCCCTTCCAACTCAGGATATTCTATGATTCTATGATTCTATGAAAACTGGTTAACGTCATTCTAAAGTCACAAGGCATCCCCATTAAGCAATAAAAGTCCAATGTAAAGGAAAATTAGGGAAGTTGTATGCTTCTGTGCATGTACATGATGCGGTCATTTTAAGAAATATTTAACTGCTATTGTATTTGCAGATTTGTAGATTGCAAAACACCACTGGATACATCTCTGTTTCTCAAAGTATCTGCTGGAGTTTTGGTTTTATACTCAGGAGGCAGAAAAAAAAATACTACAACATGTGGGGTACATTGCACCTGATTTATTTCATGGTTTGAGAGGAATAAAGGTTGATTTTTTTATTTTGGTCAAGGTATCAATTCATACGAAACTCTACATGCCTGTCAGATTGAGGACATGGGATACCTGCCAGATTTCTATACTTCAAGAGATGTTTAATATATGGGTATTTCCTGTTGATTTACATTTAAGTGGACAACGAATGCACTTTTATAACACTGTGTCCAGAAAAAATTACAAAAATGCAGTTAAAGCTGCTAAGGAGTCTTACTTCTCCAAGAAATGACATCAGCGTACTGTAGTTAAGAAGAACAAAGTATTTTACGTTTTTTCTAAATTGAGATAACACTGCTGGAAAAATGAGACATTTTGTGGGGTGCTTTAGATTCATTATTATGATTGTAGAGAATAAGAATGAGAATATAGACATTCTATAAGAATATAGGCATTCAGTCTATATTCTTTACAGTGCTCGTGGAAGAGAAAAGATTGTACTGGATATCAAGATACAGAGCATGAGTCTACATACATGTAAATATTCATAGAGTATTTAGAAATTTATGTTTGACTATGGAGGGTCTATTCTATCTCTAAGTGTTAAATGTATACACTGATGTATAGTTTGATGTAGATTTTTACATAAAGTTAGCAGCTTTCAAGTAATTTAACAGGTCTTAAAAATAATTTAAAAAATTATCCCCACATAATTGTTTTTGTCAACTAACTGCTTGTCAGTAGATTCAGATTACCCCAAATTAACCTTGGGAAACCAAAACTTTCAGGACTTAACTAAATAAATAAAATGAAGTAAAACAAACAAACAAAAACTATCCTATGTGCTACATGATGTGCCACATTTGCTAGCAAAAATTACTAACTGACCTAAAGCTCACTTCTAAAACAAACAAAACAGAAAATCACTAACAGTATCAGCAGGGATATAGGAGAGGTGTTCTAGGTGTGGTCACTTACAATTCACTTGACTTCACTTACAAGCTGTGATCTTTTCTATGTGTCTTTATTCAGCAGATCCTATCCTTTAGATGTGTTTGAAGTTAAAAAGACAAAGCGTGTATACCTTACACCAGATAAAGACCTATTTTTAAAATGAAGCATGACCTACCTGCTCAGAGGAACATCAGGTGTCCAGAAAGGAAAAACCCGTGCAACAGAGTCTCGCATTTGTATATGATATCCCAGATAGAAGTAAGTGTCCTGGGAAAATTTGAGGGCTAGCAAGTCCGTTGGATGGCTCTGCAGAATCTGTTCCCATAGATCACAAGCTTTGGGAAGCTGGCTAGAAATACAGAAATATTTTGAATGCTGAAAGAAGGCACACACACACGACTCTACTGTTACTTCTAAACTCATTCTATTCTGAAAAAGAGAAAATTCAACATCAAAAAACTTTTTTTTCTTGAAAGAATTTAATTTTTTTTTTCTGTAAGAAACAATGGCATTTTCTTCACTGGGTACTTTCTGGGAAATAATATAAAATAAATATGCTTGTGTTAAAAAAAAAAAAAAACAAGCTATAAACTGCACAGAAAAAAACAGTAGCTCAACCATAAATCTAAAGATTTTCTTATGGGGTTGAACAGAGACCTGCTGTTATCTGCTTGAGGGTAGGAAAACTCTGTAGTGATCTGGGTAGGCCAAATCAATCGGCTGAGTCCAACTGCATGACATGCAACAAAGCTAAATGCCACGTGCTGTACTTGGGTTGTAAAAACCCCATGCAGTGGGACAGGCTTTCCATTTTTCAGAGGAAATCTATTTTGACATAGGAAGACAACAGAGAGGAGAAGAAAGGTCTGTTCTAGACTTTACTTCTGTGGGTCCAAGTGTGTATTATATTATACTGGACATCAGAGGACTTAAATATTAAGTATCTTAGTTCTAAACCATTTAACTCCACTGACAGATCTAAGACATTTAAAACAAGGAGTGCTTCACGTTTTAACATAGAGGCCATACAGCACTTCCCCTCCTACAGTTCTGATGGAAAACTAGTCATGGTGATAGAGCCTGGGTAGATAAATTTCAGCACAGCCACCAACACTGCACATTGATCCTTCACTAGTTGTCTAGCTAGACAGCTAGGCAACACCACTCCCAAGCATCGCCTCTACCTGCGGTAAGTAAAACTCTTCCTAGTCCTTTACACGGGAGGAAAGCGACAACAGAAGAGCAAGTGGGACACGTGCTAAGGTGGTACACAGCAACAGCAAGGAGATTCTGAATGACAAGACCAGCTCCTGCCCCCTTCCCCATAGGGCTAGACACTTACCCGTGGGCAAACATGTCCAGTGCTGCTACGTGAAGCTTCTCCCGCTCACTGAGAGGCTGGGATTTTGACAGTGTCATCATTGTTCTCATCGCACTGTCCAGCTCTTTGTTGAGCCGCACTGAACTTCCAGTACCAATCAACTCCAAACCATTTGCGATGACCTGTCCCATTGCTAGAGAAACCAGCACATTACAACTTGAGCCATATGGAACTGTCAGAAACTCATCTCTACAGAAGCATTAACACAGTTTTGTTTTGTTTTGTTTTAAAATGGGACTGATCTGTAGTGACAGGGGACAGAAAGGCTTATAAGCCTGAAGTTTTCTAGGCCCTTCATGATAAGCATTTAAGAAGACTTGAAATGAAAAGAAAAACACAAAACCAAACACATCATCCCAGCCTGCTCTCAACTATAAAGAATCTTCACACAGTTCTGCAGCCCACCGCTTCCCACTTGCCTAAACAAAGCACAGTTAACACAAAGAGGCAAGGAATTATGCAACACTTTCCATACTAACCATTAAAGATTATACTTACTAAAATTTGGATCTGCTGCTTTTAGCTTGGAGAGACATCCCTCGATACCTCCAAGACCCTCATCATTGGCCCAGGTTGCATACTGTAAAAGAGAGAGACAGTGTCAAGGAATCCCCAATGACATTGGGCATCTTCTCCTTCTCCCAGCCACGTGAAAGTCAGAAGCAAGAAAAATGATAGCAGAGAACCTTTACATTCAGATATAATTAGGTCAGTAAGAAAACACAGAAGCTGCTTTCTTTAAGGTAGCTTGGCCACCAGCAGAACTGACAGCCTTTGTTCTCTATGCAGCTTATGGGTCCAGGGTCCAGTGGGATGAGCACACTACCTGAAGTTCTTCCTACAGCTACAGTGTCTGGCATCACTTTCTGCTATGAGGGTTTTCTGCTGACTGCTAATGGCTGAATTCAGCCCAATTTGAAGAACATCTGTGAGAACGTAACATTTCTGAGACCACAGTTTCCCTGTCAGACTTGACAGCCAGTAGCTAACCAACACACATGCTACTGGAAAGAACCAATGCAGATACATGAACACAAACACACACGCTGTGATTGCCTAATCATGCCTTCCTCAAGAAACAAAACTCAGTACAGCCTCTGTCTAATCTTTCAGCTGTAAAGGAATGTAGAAATCAGCTACACCAAAGACTGGTTTATCCAGAAGTCCCTTCAGACCCCATTTTTCATCATACCTGGGTGAGCACTGCATCAAAGAGTTTACAGGCTTCATTGCTAGCAGTGGACAGGCCGAGTCCAGCATCCTGCCAGGCCTGCACAACAAACAGATGAGAAATGAAGGATTTCACACAATGAGATGATGGACAGAGTGGTGACATTCTGATGTTTTTCAAATGTTTTTTTTTTTTTTTCAAAACAGGAAAAAGCTGTGAGAACAATGCTAGCATAAGCAGACACGTTTTGTGCACCTGTCCATACATCTCAATTTGTTGGGTTAGCAGTGGGGATAAAGAACCAAAAATTATAAATTGTAGAATTTGAAAGGCTATATACCTAACAAGGTGAGGACCACACTTCACTCCCTGCACACAAATTTGAGATAGTTCCTCTGCTGAGGATACACCTCATATGAAACAGTGACACGGGAAAGGAAGACCCCAGGTTTCTATATACAGAAGCAATACTGCCTTTTCCTAAACAGGATAGCCACACAACCACCACATTGGTCACCTCACTACCTCATGGGCTTCCCTTCCTAACTTACTCACCTAACTAATGCCGTCGTCAAAACTTTTAGGGAGCCTAAACACACACGCTGGCTCTGCTGCTCCTTGTGCTCGTTTCCCCTCATCCTTCTCCCTAAACCCAGAACAGACTGCCCGCTGCCAGGCTTCCTGGAGGAGAGTGCCATTGCCTCCACTCCTTTTCCTGCTTTGCCTTTTCTCTTTTGGGCCAGACCAAAGCCTTGCCCTTGCTGCTGCTTTCCTGCTGACTCTTCCCTTCTAGTGGTGTCCCTGCTGCCATGACACCCCCTGCAGCTCCTTGCACTAGGACCCACTTGCTGCTGCAGGACTGGGCCCAGGCACGGTGGCCACAGCATGGTAGGGGCCAGGCAGGCCAGCTCTGAGAGCAGGGCTGCAGGGCTGAGGGCCAAGGGGAGTCAGCAAAGCCCAAGGCTCACCCCTGTCATCTGGAGACTCCACGCTGACAGCATGGCTGCTCACCTTGCCCCTTGCTGCTCCCAGCCTGGCCTTCTTTCTGCGCTGTCTGTTCTGCAACAGCAATGAGCATTCTGCTTCAAAGGCTTTGTGTGGGGCTCAGGCTGGGCAGACATGTCTGCAGGTGCACTGTGAGAAGTCATGCTCAAACATATTAGGGGATATTCTGGGTGGTGGGGAAGGACAGATAGCGTGAGAGTGAAGAAAAAACATCTGGCTGCTGAGGAGAAGATGGGAACTCCAGCTCACAGGGAATGGCAGCCACGTCTGCTGGCAGGCAACTGTCCTGCCTGCCCCAGCACATCAGGGCCAAGGCAGCCCAGGACTGGGCAGTTGCCGCCCAAGGGAGAAGGATGGCACCTGCACCAGGCCCCCGCACCAGGCCCCCTTGCCAGCTGTGCCAGGGAAGAGGGGGGTAGGTCCTGGTCTCCATGGAGCACATTCTGATCTCCAAGGACACCCACTAACCGTTGGGACTCCTCAGCTGGCTCCCACTTGCAGATAGCACTGTAATGCCAGAGCTCCCTCAGGTCCTTCTGGTCATTGCTGACATGCCTCCGTGCCCTCTTCTCCTCCTTCCACTGCTCGGCTTGATCCACCAAGCCCTGCAAGCTTCCTCTCTCCACCTGCAGCCACCACCCCTGCTGCTCACCTTCCTGGAAACTCCTGGAAATGTCTCACAACAGTACAACACCCAGGGCTGCGTCACGTGCCGGGGGAGCAGCACCAGGATGATGCACTACCATCTGGGCCCAGGAGCAAGACCAGAGGCTGAGAGGAAAGAAATGCAGCCACCAGCTGCACCACGCTGCACCTGGTACCTGAACTCAGCTTGGGTGAAGAGCACCTCAAGCTGGGTAGGGCAGGGCATGCTGCAGACAGACCTCTCACCAACAAGCACTCCTCTGCCCCAGAGAACTAGTCTGGTGGCAAATATCGCCAGAGACGTCTGCAGGCTTGGCTCTGAGAGCGACTGGCAAAGGGAACAGTGCATCTGCAAGATGACAGAGAGTTGTGGAAGCCCATCAGTCCACGTGGCCTCAAAGAAATCCACATTCAACATCTGGCAAGTCCTGCCTGACCAACCTCATCTCCTTCTACGACAGGGCGATTCACCTGGTGGATGAGGGAAAGGCTGTTGATGTAGTCTACCTAGACTTCAGCAAGCCCTTTGACACAGCCTCCCATAGTATTCTCCTATTCTCCTGGAGAAGCTGGCAGCCCACGGCTTGGACAGGTACACTCACTCTTTGCTGGGTTAAAACTGGCTGGCCACAGAGTGGTGAATGGAGTAAAATGCAGCTGGTGACCCATCACAAGTGGTGTTCCCCAGGGCTATCCTGGCTTGTATCAGAAATAGTGTAGCCAGCAGGACCAGGGAGGTGATTGCCCCCATGTATTCTGCTCTGATGAGCGTGCACCTCGGGTACTGTGTTCATTTTTGGGCCCCTCACTACAAGAAAGACATCGAGGCCCTGGAGTGTATCCAGAGAAGGGCTACGAAGCTGGTGAAGGGCCTGGAGCACAAGTCCTGTGAGGAGCAGCTGAGGGAACTGGGAGTGTTTAGTCAGGGAAGAGGAGGCTCAGGGGAGACCTCATTGCTCTCTGCAGCTACCTGAAGGGAAGGTGTGGAGAGCTGGGGATCAGCCTCTTCTCACAGATGATAGGACCAGATCTACCAGATCTATCTCACAGGTGATAGGACCAGAGGGAATGGCCTCAAGTTGTGCCAGGGGAGGTTCATGTTGGAAACGAGGAGACATTTCTGCTCAGAAAGAGCAGTCAGGCACTGGGACGGGTTGCCCAGGGAGGTGGTGGCATCACCGTCCCTGGGGGTGTTCAAGGAAAGGCTGGACGTGGTGCCTGGGGACATGGTTTAGTGGGTGACAGTGGTGGTAGGGGGATGGTCGGACCAGAAACACTTGGAGGTCTTTTCCAGCCCTACTGATTCTCCGATCCTACCTTCAAGAAGCTCATAAAGGAAGAGGGGCCGCGGCAGGGGCGGGCGGGGCCGCCGGCGGCGGGGCCGGGCCGGGGCCGCTCATCCCGCCGGCCGCGCTCGCTGCCGAGCCCCCGGGGCCGCCGCCGGGGCCCGCTGCTGCTGCTGCTGCTGCCGCTGCTGCCGCTGCCGGCCACGCGGGGCCCGGCCGCCCCGGGGCGCCTCGGCAGCCCGGCGGCTTCCCGGCCCTGCCCTGCCGCCGGGGCCGGGGGGCGGGGGCCGGGCTCCGCGGGGCGCGTTCCGAGCCGTGGCCGTTAGTCCCCGCCGGCGGTTGGGGCTCCCCGGCCGGCTGCCGCCCTGCCGCCCGCAGCGCCGGTGCTGCCCGGGGCCCTCGGGGCGCCGCCGCCATGCCCCTGCATCCCGCGCTCCTCCTCCCGCTGCTCGGCTCGTTCCTCCGAGCCCTGCCGGCCCCTGCTCCCCGCCTGCAGCCGCCGCCGCTGCTGCTCAGCTGCCCGGGCCCCCACGGCCGCGTCTCCCGAGGGCACGACGCCCGGGGCTGCGTCGCGTGCCCGGAGAGCGGCACCGTGACGCTGCGCTACCAGCCGGCCCCAGGAGCGGGGCCCGAGGCCGAGAAGGGAGGGACGCGGCCGCCAGCCCCGCCTCGCTGCCTCTGGTACCTCAACTCGGCCCGGGCAAGGAGCACCTCGGGCTGGGCAGGGCGGGTGACACTGCACACAGGCCTCCCGCGGCCCAGGCACGCTCCTCTGCCCGCAGCCTCTGGCCTCGTCACGGTGCAGTGCTCGTCCAGCCTGTGCGCGGCACCCACGTGTCTGCACCGCAACATCAGCGTCGTGATGCTGCCGAGACGTGCTGTCCTCAACAGCACGGGCATGTGCGGCGATCACGCAGGAGGTGCGCCGAGGCTGGCTCGTCGTGCCGCGCCAGCCTTCCACCCAGAAGAAGAGGCAGGGCTTGTGGCAGAAGGGAGCGGCGCCCCGAGGGGGCTCGTGCCAGGTCTCCTGAGGCTCGCGGTCAGTAACAGCACCCCGGGAACAGTGGAAATGGCAGTGCTTCGGCAGGCAGCAGCCTGTAAGCTACACTCCGTCGTAATTCAAAAGCCTCTTCACACGTCTGTCATCCATCAGAAAAGGGGCATGACTTTCTACCTGTATGCCAGAGTGCTGGTGGACTGCAGCCTCAGCTTGTCTATAAAGCCGGAGTGGATATTCTATGCTGTTCCGGACATGAAAACGAATCCGGACTGGGAGAAACCTTTAAACGTGTCCTTCCTGCATGGCGTGGACACGGTGCAGCTAACTGTCCCTGGCTGTACTCTGAATTACGGCATGTATCAGGTGTATTTTACTGCTCGAGTGGATGTGCTTGGGACTAAAAGACACTTCAGTCGCACGGACAGAGTTTTCCTTCAGATCGAGAGAAGTGATCTGGTGGCGAATATTGCCGGAGGCACGTACCGGACAGTGGGTTTCTCGGATCGCTGGACTCTTGATGGCTCCGCGTCCTACGACCCTGATTCGCAGGAGCCGCTCGAGGGAATCGCGTTTACTTGGTACTGCACTAAAAAGGTGTCGGACTATGAGACCATGCAAGTCAGTGCAGGACAGAAATGTCACCGCTCCCAGAGGGACTTGAAATGGCCAACACCTACGGGTTCCGTTCAGGCAGTGCCACCAGAATTCCTCCCGGGAAACGCTGCATACCACTTCCGTCTGGTCATCCAGAAGGACAGTAGAAAGAGCTATGCCAAGCAGACTGTAGACGTGAGGCCTGGCTCCCCTCCTCTTCTGGCCGTGGCGTGCCTGGAGAACTGTGGCGGCACTGTCATTCCGACGGAGAGGTTTACATTGTCGGGAAAATGCCTGAACTGTCCGACAAAGAGCCAGCCGGTCTACCTCTGGTCCCTTTGTTTGGAAAACTCTACCGAAATCCGCTTTGACTGGTCTTCCAGAACTTCAACGGGCAGGTCTGGTCCTTTCCTCTCTATACATGCTCTGACTTTTACAAACGCTGCGCATCAGTCATACATGCTGCTCTTAAAAGTGACCACTCGGGGCGGTGGGTCAGCACTCTACAGATACACGTTCAGAGTGAATTCTCCTCCCAGGGCCGGGACGTGCAGCATCAGCCCACACCGGGGTACAGCCTTTCAGACTAAATTTGTTGTCCAGTGCAATGGATTTTCCGACAGCAACTTACCTCTGACATACAAAGTAAT